AACAGACTGCCCAGGGAAGTGGTTGAGTCCCCATCCCTGGAAGTATTTCAAAGACGTGTAGATGAGGCGCTTAGGGACATGGTTTAGTGGGTATGGTGGTGTTGGGTTGACGGTTGGACTCGATGATCTTAGAATCATTAAGGTTGGAAAAGACCTCTATGATTCTGTAAGACTATCAGTAACACTATCACATGTTCAGCTCTATCAGACATACATACAGCCTTCTTGCAAATCTCGCTCTGGCAGTTTTAAAATGTCACTACTTCCAGCTGCCTGCCCCATGTTTCAGCCCCAAAGCTGGCAAGGCAGAGGGGAATCCATGCCTGAAGCTGAGCTCCTTAGTGCGCAAAGGAGGGAAACACTTACAAGTGATATACCTGTCTGCACCTTCCATGTATATAAAGGTACTTACACATGCCTACAGACTCTGCATTATAAAGCACCAATCATTGAGAGAATTTAACATTGTGACATCTTCAGTAAGTTTAAATGAAGCAAAAGAAAAACAAATGATTTTTTTTTCCCCAGATGCAGCTATTGGAAATTATTACATTGAAAAAATATGAATTGCATTAGATTGCTTGCCTGAGCAAGGGTCAACAAGGACGGACCTTAAGCAAATCAGAGAGTCTACCCGTTCAAAAACTGGAAAGGAAAAACAAATCACACTTTCTATCAACAGGTTTTAAAAGTGTTTTACAAATACAGACACGGCTCCGACATGGATGTTACCTGCACATGCACATCTCTAAATTAAGCTGCGTTCACCAGAAGATCAGGTTCCTCTATTTCCTTAACCTATATTGTCTGTAGGCTTGTCTACACAAGACATTCCTTGGAAATAATCTGAGAGCCCAATTCAGAGGCCGGTAAATGAGGCCTATAAAGTGCTTGCCCTGGCACCTTCTATCAGTAAATCCTTCTATGCAAATTACTTTTATGTTGCACTAAACTCCTCCTTCCTCCACTGCAACATCCCCATGTATTTTACCCCTCTCCATCAGCAGCTCTGGCAACAGCTAGCCACTTTCTGGTAGAGCTCTTTCTGTCACTTCTGCATCACAGAACTCCTCTGGTCCATTAGCAGAACTGGCAGAAAGCAGCAGAGGAGGGGCGAGGCCCTTCAGTAACACCTAGTCATCAGGCGTGCCTGAGCTCTACTTCCAAAGCTCACCCTCAGGGTGTAGTTTCAAGAGTACCTGAAGCTGAGCTGGGCTTCTGCTGCTGCCAGTGGAGGTGGCTTCCACCCTGTGTCTGTGCCCACCACTGCGTCACGTCAGCACCAGCACTTGCGCGGTGTGGCCGGACTGGTGACCATCTGTAAAGGGAGAAAAGGAGGCACTGGAAACAGGCAGCTACCCTGGGGAAGGGCAGGAGCCACCAGCACGGCCCCAGCACAGCCCAGCACACTCAGAGCACAGGGACACCGCCTGCACGGCCGAGCATGGCAGCCGGAGCTTGCAGACAAGTCATGTCTACTATTACCTGGCATGGTGTTAGGAAGAGCACCCTCGAGGTAACGCAACCAAACTTAACAAAATAAATGGTATTTTCATTCTGAAGCATGGGAACTGTAACTCAGGTTTGGCCAATTCTAGTTATTTTGTGATTTCAGATAACATGATCTGCAGATGTGCTTCATCTCAGATGTCTGGTTACCACAAGAGTCAGAGAAAAACTCCCAGTTGTATCTACTGCAACACACTGGCTAAACCACAACACGTGCTCCAGTTTTTTTCTTTTAAGGGGGGGGGAAGCATAACCTTTCCCTCCACCAAAAAACAAACACAGCATTTATTTTTCCTTTTTCTTTCTTTGTCATGTAAAAAAAAGACCAAAAAGTTGTTGGTTTTAAAGATTTTTTTTTTAAATTATTGTTTTACAGTAGAAATCGAGGATTTGAATGCCTTTGAGATGAATGAAGTCTTTAAGAATACTGAGTAACTAGTAAACAAGAATTCAAAGTGAACAAGCTGATTGACACGGTAAGGAGTTAGTTGCACTGTAGAAGTTTTATTCTAATGTAAGACACTATTTTGATAAAAAAAAGAATACTCTGAATGCCAAGATTCAATAGTAATCAAGCTAGTGACACACACAAAAAGCCTAAGTGCCCTCAAAAATCACCCAGCAAAAACAGGAAGTGATTCGACATGAGACTCATGATTATTAAGTAAAACAAAACAAAAACACACAGCAAAAGGGAACACCTTTAAACTGTGCAGAAGTCTTTAGGTAACCTTTTTATAAGTGGAAAGGTCACCTAAAAGGGCACACACCCACTGGAGAAAAAACCCAAACCGCTGCACACTATCATTAATCTATGGGGAAGAGACTGTGACAAAGTCAACATTCTTCCCCCTTGGTTTCGCTACCATTTTTACACATATTCAGATTTTGTTTTAAAAAAAAACAGCACAAAAGCCCCAGTCATCGCACACGTCCTCATTATGGGTTTCAAGGACTTCCAGGGGGTTCAGCCAACTACCTGGAAATCTGAAACTAACAAACAAATCACAGCAATCCAACAGCGCGGTAACAGCCAGGCCGATACCACAACCCAACGAGATTACCTTTACCTAAAGGAACGGGAATTTTTAATATGTAACGATGTGCAAATTGGACTAATACATAAATGCGTACATCTGAAACCGTGTGCGTTACCAAGGGTCCCACGTAACAAGGCAGCGCGAAACACGCAAAACGAACCCCAGCAAAAAAAGCCAGGAAGTCGGCGGCCGGCGATGCCCTTAACGTGCACTACCGACTCTCCCGCGTAGGGCGGTACCGCGGCCCGGGCCGGAACGGCGGTCGTTAAGCGCGGATTCCCACAGCCCACGCCTCCTGCCGCCGGCACGCTGTCCCGCCAGGCGCTGCCGGGGGACGGACCCTAGTTACGCTCCTGCCCGGGAGCAACGGCCTACATGCGCGGCTTTATCCCAAACCATTCCCAAGTTGTTGCTACCCCTTTTTGCTATATAAGGTAACAGCGCGTCATCCAAACTAAAAAAAAGAAACAACCCACAAAACAAAAAAAAGGAAAAAAAAACCACCCAACCCAGCAGAACAAACGAATTGAGGAAAAGGCCGGTGCAGAGGGGACGCCCGCGGGCACGCTCGCCCGTTGTTTACTCGCGCAGCTGGACGCGGC